GATACTTAAACTTCACATCCTAGCTGTAGTCTCATTGTGCATGAGCAAAGCATGGTGAGAAATACTACCAAACCACACACTGGTAATTGAGATATTTAGAGCAGAGCCTCACACAAGTGTTATAAGGTACAGTAGGAATCATTTTGCTTGACTGAAACATCACTCTTGCAAGTCAGGGTGAGAACACAGCACACAAGTCACTATGACTAGCATCAGAGCTTAGTGCAGACTTCTTTTCTCTTCATTATACATTTTTAAAGACGATAAAAATTTGTGCCACTTGTGATAATTTCAACAGGGCGTTCAGCATCTATTTTTTGTCTAGAGAGAAGAAAATCCTTTCTTCCCCAATTTAAAAAGTTGGCATTAGATTTTCACACTAAAATATCTATATTTAGTCTAGGATGTCAGATGACTTTTTTTTTGAGATGGAGTTTCACTCTTGTTGCTCAGGCTGAAATGTAATGGCGCACTGTGGACTCACCACAACCTCTACCTCCTGAGATTCAAGTGATTCTCCTGTCTCAGCCTCCCAAATAGCTGGGATTACAGGCATGCGTCACCATACCTGGTTAATTTTGTATTTTTAGTAGAGATGGGGTTCCTCCATGTTGGTCATACTGATCTCAAACTCCCGAACTCAGGTTATTTGCCTGCCTCGGCCTCCCAAAGTGCTGAGATTACAGGTGTGAGATACCATCCCTGGCCTCCAGGATGTCAGATGACTCTTTAACTGAATCCCGAGAAGTGTCTCCCAGCATTTCTGCGACTCAGGCCATCCTATGGCTGATGTGGACCAAGGTCTGCTGAAGAAAACTGCTCATACTCTACCTGACCTCCAGTGCAAAGTGGGACAGGAAGTCTCATCAAATCAAACGAGGGACAAAGAGACACAATTTATCTCTAGATATTTGTATAAACTGGCTGTTCAATGTTGCTAGCTTGCTAATATTCAGGAGTATCTGAACAAATGGCTAATCCTTCTCTCCCTTTTACTCCTGGAGATTTTCATGTCATGCAGGCATAAAACTGGAGTACCACTGACAACTCTAACTTGTTTCAAACTTTCTTGGAATTTTCTCATCAGCTGTGTCTTGGGCTCATGCTTTGTCCTTCAGAGACTGGACTCTTGTTTTATTAGCCTGACATTTTGTTCTGACCTCTGTCGACAGCTCCTGGCCTCTGGCTTGCACTCTGTTTAGTCGCTTCTTTTATTTATAACTAACGCTCTTCTGTTCAACTCAGACAAACTCACTGATTTGTGATCTGGTCACACTTGCATTGTTCTATCTAATATAAAATCTTCTTTTTTTCTAGCATCTCTCTTTTTGCCATGACATTTATTCGGCTTCTTGCATTTTCAATTTACTTTCACTCCTATTCTGATTACAGATTAAAAATGTCTGCATTATGCCAGCGAGGAAAAGCTGTTCCAGTTGAGAGAGATCACTGTGGAGCGTAGCTTACACCTTTAAAGCACTTTATGGTTTCACAGAGCATCTTAACACACACAATTTCTTACTTCATCCTCACAACAACCCTGTGAGGTAGGTGTTAACATGTTCATTATACAAGGGCAGAAATGAAAATGGCAAGATACACACAGGCATACTATCTAGAGTTCTACTAGAATCTTAATTGTATGACTCTTGGGTCTATCTGCTAAAACTTAAAGGAAAGAAAGTTTTGAAAATGTAGTCTATTGATCAGTAGAAAGAAACAAAGAAACAAAAGAACCATTGAATCCCATATTTTTCCTATTCTTTTTTCATTTGCCCTTTCTCCTCCTTCTCATTTTCTTTCCTTCCTTCACCTACACAAACTATCTCCAGTTCTATTGAAATACTGCTTTTTCTTTAGGATCTATGCTGAATATTTAAAGCATGATATGCAAAGAACTTTTTAGAATGGAAGAACATTGGTATTATTATTTTCATGATCAAAATATTTTTGTTTGAAACGACCAGGTAATATAATAAAAGTTTTATTTTTGGTTTAAATGTGTTGGATAAATTGCTAAAGCTCTACTTCACTTCAAAACTTTTAAAAAATATATATGGTGTAATTTGGAGAATAAGGAGAAGGCAAACTAAATCGAATACATTTTTAAAAAATATTCTAAGAAATTAAAAAATCTCTCTCTTCTACACACCTGTCTAGCACTATTTCCCCCCCAAATATAGCTTAGATGTATTGTAATTGCCTGTTCATTTGTCTACATCTCTCAGCGACAATTAGCTCTGTAAAACCGGCTACAGTATCTATCTTATTAGCTGTTATGTCCAGCTTATGGAGGTACAAAATGAATATGTGAATGAATGAATTAATGATTTAATGATTTTCTTCTATGACATCCCTATCACTGATTGAGAATAATGTTTTGAATATAAAGAACCCACATATATTATCAGTACTCATGTTAGTTCTCCTATAACCCAATGTATTAAATTGGGTGTAGCAAGGCTCTAGGTGAATGGGTGGCACAGAACTGAGGATGCGTTGGAGCAGCCCTGCAGTCTGTACATGAGACATGTCCAGGCTGGGGGTGATAGGGGAGAGGGGTGATGATGGAGGAATTGGAGTAAGAAGAGGTATGAGCATGGGAGCAGAGGACCCAACAGCACCAGGGACCAGGAGAGGAAGCCATGTGGAAGCCAGGTACAACACGGGAACCAAAGTCATTTGGAGGAGTTGCAAAAGGATCTTGGAAGTCAGTTGTGCAGATGACTTGTCCAGAGGCCTTTTAATGAGATGGTAGCAGAGGATGTCCTGCCCAACCCACCTGATCTTAAAAGGGTCCCGCCCTAATAGGATCAGGGAGTTGTACTGGTCCTGACACATATATAAAAGAGGAAATTAATTATTATTTTTATCATATTTAAAGAAAGCCTAAAGAAAAGTTTTAAAATTCATATTAAAAATTCAATATAAATTTTCACATAGCAGAATTAACTAACGGTGTGGGGAATCAGGCACTTTCATACAGAATAAGTTGGCACAACCTTTTAGCAGCCAGTTACAATAAATTATAAAATGATATATAACCTTTGAATCATTGATTCTACTTCTAGCAAATTCCCTATTAAAAAGTACTCCTGCAAAAGAGTATATGTGAGAATGTTGAATGTAGCGCTGTTTATTAAAGCCTGACCAAAGCAAACAAAAATCATTTAGTGTTCAGGACTAGAGGAGTGAATGGCTACATTATGGTAATAATGGTATAGCTGAGCAATAGAATAATGCATAGCCCTTGAGGGAAAATAGGTAGAGCCATGTATAATGATGTGGACAGATGACTGACATCTTGACGTAAGCAAAAAGCAGGATATACCACGTTAGATGATTATGTATATCATTCTTTCTCTCCTTTTTAAGCATTATGCAGTTGTATTATACTCTACATGAGAAGGGAGGGCATGGTGGGGAATTCAGAGGCTGTATATACTTATAACAGAAACACCTCTTTTACTGCTTCCTCAAAGAAAGTATGTGCATAAATTCCAAATCAGCCATGAAAATATCTGTAACTGAAAATATTTCTGAACATATCTGAAGAAAATGTTCGAAGCATTTGATGACCTTAGGTAACAGAAGACAGTGGGGTGCTGTTTGCATACTAAAAATAAAAAAAATGTTTCTTATTTGCAAAACTAGACTAGAGTCAATGTTAAGAAGCTCAGAGAAAGCCTCAGGAAAAGAAGACGAAAAACAAAAGATAAAGGCAGAGATAAAGATGAAGATAAGCAAAAGGATAGGGAGGAGAATGTTGCAAGAGGAGCTTAACTGAAAGTAAATGGGGTGAAAAGGAGAAAAAGAAGTAGAGTAAAAAGTATACAGCAGGCACATTAAAGAACAAATGGACACAAAGGAGAAAAGAGACTAAAGTTACTATTATTTTAATGTAATAATAACAAATAATAGTCATTAAGTAACACTAAAGTACTCAGAAGGCACACAATACTCTGTTGTACTTTGAAAGTACCATGCTTACACTAATGGGTACTCTAATGGCTGGTATTCATGACAATGTCCTACTTTGTCTAAATACGGCATCCCTACACAGAATTAGGTTAAAATAATTAGATTTTGTCAGGCAGAGAAATTGGTACTGTATATTTCTAGCTAATGATTATAACTAAAACTTGCTAGATTTTGGTACATAAAAGGATTTTCCATTATCTGTGGAAAACAGAACCCTGATGATTAAATATGATCACCCTGTTCGTATCAGATATCCCATGGACACACAGACACACACACATCTCATGTAGTTCCTATTGGGAATACAGAGGGAGGAGCCTTTTGATTCTGAGAAGTTTAGTGGGGATTCCACATACTCTTCATAATCCCTTCATGATGTCAGTATACATTCAGCCTAGACGCAGCAATTGACTTACAGCATGGCAAATAGAAGACATCTCATCTAATGTTTAGTTTTTAAGGTCCAATTAACAGATTCTGTATACCGCAACATGAGGTTGGTATTCAACTGACAAATAGTCTTCTTGTGAAATCTATTCTGTTGCAGGTGTAAAGGTTTAGAACATGGAATACCAATTTTCAAGTTTTTAGTAAAATAAACAAAACAAAAAGCCCCAGCCATCAGAGGACCAATTTTTCAGGGTTCTTAAACTGCCCAAGTTCTATTTAAGGTTTCATTTTAAGGAAGGAGTTTGTAATTGTTTCTATTCATAAGCTTGATTTTCTCTCAGTGGATAAAAATTGACTTGAAAATTGAACAATTTTCTATGCGGAATTTTTAGAAAATAGTGTTCAACACAAAAAGTCAAGACAAATGGATAATGAGATTGAAAGAGTTATATAATAAAATCTATGTTTTATACCAATTAGTATGCTTATTTGTAGAAAATTGTGGTTAGCTTCCATAGAGTCTCTATGGATCTGTGCTGGTTTCCAACCTTTGCCTCAAGCCTAGATCTCTTGTATCATAGATATTTATTACAAGAATTCACACAGAAAACAAAATACTATATACTTACTTAGTGTGTTTCCACTCCCCTTTTCCCCTTTCTGGCCTTTTGGTCCAGAATTTCCTTGAGAAAAGAAGAAAAATATTTGCTTTTAATCAGGAAAATTCACAATGTTTCTTTGAACTGGAGACAGATCATACAAGGTAATTAAAATATTAATGTATAAAAACTGGCAGATATTGATATGTATAATAACACTGATGTTAATAATAATAATAATAGTTACTACTTAGGAAACTCCATTATGAACCTGGTATGGTGATATTTCAAATTATTTACAAGGCACTAAATGCCCAATTTTCCTAAATCAAGCAAAGATGAAGAATAAAAGCAGTTGTTTTGTATTTATTTATCCTCCTTTTCTCCTTTTCCTTTGATTGGGTCTTACCCACAACCCCCAGGAAGTCCAGTGACTTCCATCACCTCCCATATCACGTTCTTCTATTCACATTACAATTTATTGTTTTCATTTCTTTAGAGAGCACCATCCCAAAAAACTGAGTTGCCAATGAATTTCTGGGAGCGTTGAGATTCTCAGTCATGGAGAAGGTAGGAAGATCCTTGGGGCATTCCCATCTCTAGGCTGATCACCTTTGGTTTTGAGAAAACTCATCCATTTATATAGGGGTTTAGTACAAATATTTTATATGAGGGTCGAGGCTTTAAGCAGATGTGGAAATATGGCTAGATCTTGGTCTTTGCCAATGGGTTGCTACTTCACCCACTGTCCCCCTTTTAAAGGAGTCGCAGGAGATCTTTCTTTAGTACCAAGAAAAGATTGCATCTCCTAAGTTTCGTGCTGTTCTTGCTTATTGATTTTTTCCAACAGCCATCAGATGCAATCAGATCTTGCAAGTAATTATTGTCTTGACATAAATGATCCCAGTGCTCCCTGTCTCTAAGTCAAATCTTTGTTAATGTTTTTTATTCCCTCTGGTAAAATTGAGAACCTTCACCTTTTCATCCTAGAGCTCAGTGGATGTAGTTTAACAATCATGAACTTCAAAATATTAATAGGAATAATTTAGAAACTCTTGTGTTTAATTATTTTGCTCTGCCACTTACTGGGTATGTGACTCAGGACAAGTCTTTAAATCTTTCTGAGATAAAGTTTATTATTCTATAAATTGAAAAAATAATACCTTGCATTGTAGAGTTGCCTTGAAAACTAGCAACAATGTTTATTAAGCACTTTGCCCATAAGAGAAATACCTAAAAAATCTAGTTCTTCTTATTTCTATTCTTCATCTCCTAGAGCTTAGCTGGAATCTTCTCTCTGCAATTTTATTCTCAGTAAATGAGAGAACAGCTTTTTCATTTTTTTTTTTTTTTTTTTTTCATTTGAAGGAATCTTGCTCTGTCACCAGGCTGGAGCACAGTGGTGTGATCTGGACTCACTGCAACCTCCACCTCCCAGGTTCAAGCAATTCCCCTGCCTTGGCCTCCATAGTAGCTGGGATTACAGGTGCCTGTCACCACACACAGCTAATTTTTTTATTTCAGTAGAGACAGGGTTTCACCATGTTTCCCAGGATGGTTTCAATCTCCTGATCTCGTGATCCACCCACCTTGGCCTCCCAAAGTGATGGAATTACAGCTGTGAGCCACCATAACATGCCCTCAGTTGATTTGTTATGGTATAATTATACAGAATTTTAATGTTTATATTTATTTATTTTGATTTCTCTAGTCTATGGCATCTTTATCTGTCCTTTATTTTGAACATGTGTCATTATGTATTTCTTAGAGAGTATTTTTGGCCCTTAATTTACCAACTTAAAAAAATATATATATATGTAATACATAATTAATAGCATGAAACTAGAGGCACTTAAAGAGTATAAGTTATTCCCAATTGAAATTTTATTTTGAAGGTTTAATGAAATGCCAACCATTTTATATCAGGGTCCTAATACCAAATTTCTAATTCTCTAATTGCTGCGTATAATGTGAATATACTTTATATCATTAAATTCACTTCTTAATTGTAATTGAGCTGTGTCAGTTACTGTTAAATTGGCAAAAATCATTGTTAGCACAAAGTACCCAAAACCTTTCCTATTTTTTGAGTGAATCCTTTAATGAAATACAACACCAAATTTTCCAAGAGGAAAAAGGTCTAAGAAATTGTTAAAAATTTGGGAAGGGAGGAGTTAAAGTGTGACTGATCAGTTCTAATTATTTTCAGAAGAGAGAACAGACTAAGCAAGCTTAATTTCATTATTTCAGTTTAATTTTACAATTAGAAAAAGAAAGTAACTATGCATTGTTCTTGGAAGTCTTTTCACACAGCAACTTGCCTTATATTTCAGAATAGAAATGCTTCACCCAGAGCATTGACCCACGTAAGTTCCTTGTAGCTCTCAGATTCTATGATAATTAAAAAATTAGTTTTATGTTATTTTGCTTTTGTTCTTATACCACTGTGACTTTTCTTTTTAAAGATGGTATAATAAAATACCTTATCTCCTTATAAAGAAACATAAATGTTTTATATCATTATAACACGATTCAGAGATTTCCTTACAGATGATACTTGGAAATCTTTTCCCACACTTGAAAACATCAAAACCATCCTTTCTAAGGGAAAGAAAGGCATTGGTCCCTTAGAATAATACCTTTGGTTAAAAAGGAATGCAAGGGCTTGGTTCCAACCTAGAGTTAAGTAACTCCTGTCCTAGGTATCAGTCTTTAATAGAAATTAACTTATATTTCTAAAGGCCATTTAAAAATAAGAAGGAGACCATATATAATATGATAATCTAACTTGAAAGAATGCAAGAGGAGGTGTCTTCTATGACATCATCATGATTTCAAGCATTTTTAGTGCCTCTTCTATGAGCTAGTTACTAGGTTAGATGTTTTTGCATACATGCCTTAATTATATTAAGCGAATTTTCTGCAGCTCTAGCCTGCCTCCCCACCCTGTTTTTTTTTTTAAAGCTATTGTGAAATGTGATCATCCTCTCTCCTAAGCCTAGTGCTTCTTCCTGGTCCCTGAATTGTTCAACTTATTCCTTCTTATTAACCTTATACTATCTTTTTCTTTTCTTTCCTCTGTATCTTTGACCACCCCTCCTCTATTCTATCTTTCCATCAGCATTTAAATGGTACTCAGATCCCTCCTTCAAAGAAAAAAGAATCAAATGAAAAAAAAAAACCATAACTAACAAAAAATGGATCTCTTTCTCCTCCTCTGCATAGCAAGACACCTAAAGAGTTGGCTCTAACCCCGTCTCCCACCCTTATCAACCATTCCCCTCTCCGCATACCCTGATCTGGTTATCACCCCACCTCATAGAATCTGCTTTGAATAAAGGCAACATCCCCACATCAGCAGTTGCAAAGAGCTTTTTGTAGACTTCACCTTACTTGACCACCTTTTGTGAAACTCTCTGTCTTTGTCTTTTTTCATGCCCTGTTCTCTGGGTTTCCTTCTTCATTTGGGCTACCTCTTTCCTTCTACTACTTTGTCCATATTTCTCAACCTGTACTTCTGGGACTAAGTAAAACTTTAGCTAGGCCCCTTCTCTTTGTACCTTCCCACTCTCTACCCATAAATTATTATTGAAATCAGTGATTCTGAAGAACATTTATATGATCATAGCTAAACTGTCTTTTAAATTGTCCTTTAAACTTCAGACTCTTCTGTTCAACCATCTATAAATAGCTAAATGAAATGTTCAGTAAACGTGTTGAATTAACAAATGACCTATTTATGGTCAAATATTTTAGACACTCCTGAAAATGACCATAACATACTCTGAGAAAAACAATCAGACTTTGAACGGACTTCAAGAGGCAAAATGGACAGAAGCACATTATCTACATGCTGAAAGTTCTACTTTGTTTAACAAGGTAGAACAGAGCCTTCTACGGATTATGAAGACATGCAAGGTTTCCCTTCAATTAAATCCTCCAAACTTAATGAAGTAAATATGTCAGGTCTTATGAATGCACTACTCTATAGATTTTCTATGTATGGAGAAAGCATAATTCTTACCTTTCTCTTCTCATGTTTGTGTGTCTTTTCAGTTGCAGACTGTCTTATTCACTTTTCATTTCCCTGTTTCTAGCATGTATCCTATCTGAGCAGTGTGTACTTCATACAGAAGGAAAGGGCAAGATGGGAACAAAAGGAGTGTAGGAGGAGAAACAGAGGATGTTCTATCTGAATATTTTGCTTCAGAATCTGATAATATTTTTGATGCCATCTACATAGTCCAGATTGTGAAAAAATATAACTCAAGCAATGTAAAGTATCAAAGAGTGTTTATAACATAAATCAGGGTCTTAGCTCTGAAATATATTACTTTATCTATCATGGACCTGTTTTTACGTATTTCATATTTCATAGTTGTCAGACTTATTTCTAATTTTACCACCTTCTTCAGACTCTTGTAGAGGAAAGATTATATTGTTCCTTCTTGTAGTCTGCAGAACAACTAGAGCGTCACCCGGCACTACTGCTCACATCTCTACCAGACTGCTGTCTTTTATAAAAAGTGATGTCTTAAGGATATGTTTTGTCAAGGAACTTATTACCACTGCCCTAGTTTTTCCTTGTGCATGATGACTCTGTCTCACTCCTTTTTTCCACCTAAACATACGGTTCTCAAAATGTCGTCCCTGGATTAATAGTATCACCTTCATCTGGAAATTGGTGAGGACGGTGAGCCCAATCCTAGAGCTACTGCATCAGAAACTCTGGGGTGGAGTCCTGGAAGCTATTTTCACAGATCTTCCTAGTGATTCTGATGCCAGCTAAAGTTTGAGAAATATAAACATAAAGAAATTCTATGCCTCTTTTAGGCCAGCACTAACAAACACTACTTCCTTTTTTTTTTTCATGTAATTGTTTAAAAAGTGTTTTTTTTTCTTTTAATTATACTTTAAGTTCTGGGGTCCATGTGCAGATCGTGCAGGATTGTTACATAGGTATGCATGTGCCATGGTGATTTGCTGCATCCATCCCCGTCATCTACATTAGCTGTTTCTCCCAATGTTATCCCTCCCCAATCCCCCAACCCCCTGCCATCCTTCCCTTAGCCCCTCCACCCACCACTAGGCCCCAGTGTGTGATGTCCCCCTCCCTGCATCCATGTGTTCTCACTGTTCAATGCCCAGTTACGAGTGAGGACATGAGGTGACAAACACTACTGTCTGTGTAACATATTTTCTTACAGGATGAAGTTAATCACTCCATACTACTTCCATAGAGCATTTTGTCTAACCCCACCAAGGTTGTTTACTTACCACATGGAATTATAGTTATTTGCTTATGCATTTGTTTCTGTCTCTAGCTCCTTAAGGATAGCAGCTGTGGTGTATTTATCTCCAGCACACAGAGACCCCTCATCAACTGTGGGGACTGGGTGAATGAATGAAACAATACTCTTCAAAGCTAAACATAGGTTTACACTTTGATCCAGCAATCACACTCCTAGGTAAACTTCTGTCTACGCAAAAGCCAGCACATTAAAGTTTATAGCTGCTTTGTGCATTATTTCTAAAACTTTTTTTTCTTTTTTTTTTAAGTCAGGGTCTTACTCTGTTGCCCAGGCTGGAGTGAAATGGCATGATCTCAGCTCACTGCAACCTCTGCCTCCCAGGTTCAAATGATCCTCTTACCTCAGCCTCCTAAATAGCTAGGACTACAGGCATGTGCCACCATGCCTGGCTAATTTTTGTATGTTTTGGCAGAGACAGGGTTTCACCATGTTGGCAAGGCTGGTCTTGAAATGCTGACCTCAAGTGATCTGCCCGCCTCAGTGACCTACCCACCTTGGCCTCCAAAAGTGCTAAAATTATAGGTGTGAGCCACTATGCCCAGCCTAAAACTTTGAAACAACCAAAATATACTTTAACAGATGAATGGATAAACATTTTGGTAAACTCGTAAAATGAAATAATATAGAGTAATTAAAAAAATGAGCAATCAGACCAGGAAAAGATATAAAGAAACCTTGCATTCATACTGCTAAGTGAAAGAAGCCAGTATGACAAGGCTACATGCTGCATGATTCCAACCATATGACATCCTGGAAAAGGCAAAACTATGGAATCAGTAAAAAGATCAGTGGCTTCCAGGAGATTGATAGAGTTGGTGGAGCACAGAGGATCTATAGGGCAGTGAAACTATTCTCTTATACTGTAATGATGGATACATGACATTATACATATGCTGAAACACATAAAATGCACAGCACAAAGAGTGCTCACTAATGTACATAACAGATTTTGGTTAGTAATGATATATCAGTGCTGGTTTATTAATGTTACATATGTACCACACTAATGCAAGATGTCAGTAACAGAGGAAACCATGTGTACATGGGTGGTTTCTGGGAACTCTCTATACTTTCTGTGCAGTTTTTTTATATGTAAAAATGTTCTAAAAATAAAATGTATTTTAAAAATGCCTCAATGATAGAGACCCTATTCTTTTTTTTCTTTTTCTTATTTTTTAGAGACAGGGCCTCACCAGACTGCTTAGGTTGGTCTCAAACTCCTGAGCTCAAGCAACCTTCCCACCTCAATGTCTCAACTAGCTGGGACCACAGGTGCACAGCTCTGCACTTGGCATGACTCTATTATCTTGATGATAATTCACTTTGGAAAAAAAAAAAGAAGCAAACAGGAGATAGTAAGCCTAGCTCTTTCTAAAATTGCTGTTCAAAGCAATTCAATTCTGTTCAAAGTGTGCAATTCAAGCTTAGGCCATTGGCAGAGCTGACGGAAATAATATCACCGTGTGTACATTTCAAAATGCTGAACAACCTCGATTATTAAGCACTAGTAAATGATAGCATATAATTTATTTTGCATAGGAGAGGATTTCAGACTTCTCTGTATTTTGACAACTGTAACCTCACAAAGTTTGGCCAGTTGTGATTAAACAGGTCTTCTTTATACTTGTCTTCTTTTTTTTCTTTGCCAGTCTTTCAATTCTCTTTGTTCAAAGATGGATATCATTGTTCATGATGATCTATGATTGTGAAGAGTTTATAAATCCTGTGTGTTTATTTTTAATGATTTTCCTTTGGGATACAGAAACTTGCCTCAGGTGAACAGAAGTCAGTTTCAAGAATTCGATTTCAGAAACCATTTTTTGACCACAAAATAATTGCATGTGAATATTACTATTCACAAAATAATAATCATTTATCATCCAATAATTTAAAAATATGTATATTACATATATACAATATTATGTATACATATACATTATCTGGTGTTTCTTCTACATATTCTATAAAGAAAATACACATTATCGTAATACCTGGCCTTCCTGTATGTCCAGGGAATCCTCGACTTCCAGGAAAACCAATTGCTCCCCGATCACCTTTAAGACCTGGAGTACCTACATTATTAATGAAGAAGAAAAGGAGGTAGTAATTCATTTTTCATACAGATTTGAGAGTATAATGAAAAAATCTAGTTTTATCAGTGAATATGAAATTAGAGAATCTCCAAATGGAGGAATATAACTTTCCTAAAATGTAATGTGTGACATTGAAAGATAATATAAGCAATAAATATAAACCTTAGTATATTTAGCATATTGTAGCTATTCAATAAATAACATATTATTAGTAGAAATAAAGGCACCTTAGAAAAAATAAATCTTGAGTTTTAACCAAAAGGCTTATGTAGTCAACTGTTAATAATCAAATGGCAGGATTTTGCTGTAGTTGAAATGACAACTTTAATATACATAAACTGAAAATTGAATTCTTAAGGTTTGCCTTATAAAAAAAATGCAACTCAAGCAATGTAAAGTATCAAAGAGTGTCTATAAAATAAACTAGCGTCTTAGCTCTGAAATATATTACTTTATCTATCATGGGTCTGTTCTTATATATTTCATTGTAATCCCAGGTACACACACACACACACACACACACACACACAGAAAACACAGATTTATTTACGAGTATGTACTAGATACTTACGCAAATCCAGGGTGTTATATGCTTACGTGAAAACTGAGAATAGCTACTTTTTATCCAGTATTACTATGGTGACCATAAAAACTACATATCAAAGAAAATGTTACATTCCTATGTAATAGAATATTTTATTCTAGGGTATAGTGGTTCTTGATAAACTATTGTAACACAGTTTAAGGATCTTATTTTGTGTCATTATCAATTCAGAGAGATCCCATTAATCCAATTTCACTTGATTCCTTGGGAAGGCATATTGTAAGAAATTGATTATACATTTTTTCCCAATACCAACCTCTTAGAATATTACTTTTAGTTTATAACTTTCAGAAGACAGGACTTATACATATTAAATTCATTTTTAAAATCTTTTCTTGAGGTTTATTAATAAAGACATTTAAAAATGGGCTGTCCTCTAAGAAGTGCTCGGTTTAAGAAGTACATTATTCTTACTAGTAAAAAATATTATTTAACCCAGTGTAAAACTTTTATTCCAACAGAAATTAAGCAAACTTCCAAAGTGATAAAGTAATAAACTATGGTTAGAATTACTGCTTCCAAAGCAATAAAGTGATAAACTATGTATAGAATTATTAATAAAGTCAGGACATTTCAACTCAATTTAATTACAAAGTAGTATATATTGGCTGGACTTCATAGCATACAGCCTAAGAAAGACCTAACATCTGTTCTCAGTACAAGCTGATTAATATTTATACCTTCCTTCACTATAGAAGCAAGGTAGTGAGACTTCTGCACTGGTAGTTACCAACATCTGTCATTCCAATTTACAAATAAAAACATTGACAGTAAATTCTGCCAATTTTAAAAATTGGGAAACATTTCCCTACATTTTGTAGAGTGTCATTCACAAATAACCTCCACTTTTACTATTTCTTTCATTAATTCAAGAAAGATGTATTGTACACATCTTAGTCATCTTAGTATATTCCTAGAGTTTAAAACTATCCTTATCCAAACAGATCTTCCAGGGTGGAGAGACAATGAGAGTCAGATAGTGAGGAAGGTAGCAAAGAAAGAAGGCAATTTGGGGGTTATAATGTTAGAAAAACTGGGTAATAGAATAGCGAATGCCATGGGGCCTCCTTTAGACAGGAACGTCAGAGACGCCTCTCCCATGATGACTTCTCAAGTACTTTACAGTGACGCTCAGAATACAGCTGCTCAACTAAAAATCAAGGTTGTTTAACTACAAATCAAGTACATTTTCAATGGGTAAGCAAATAAATCTATAAATGAAGAGTCTGAGATACTTTTGCAGAAATCAGGAAGTCACAGACCTCTGTTCTAAGAGATGGTTAAGCAGACTCTATATGGTCTATGGAGTTATGTGACTTGTTTAATGATGTTTGAAAATGTAGTCCCCGAAGTATAAGCACCACTGTTGTACTTTATTGCACAAGATCAGATACCCTGAGCCTTTCAGGAGGCAATTAACTAATTTCCTACAATAATCTGTGGCAATGGGAAAGGATCTGGCACCTGCTTCTAACACATGGACAATGTAAGTACAACTACATGGAATCTAAGTCATGGGATGTTCCAAGAAACCTTAGATATCATCCAGTCAGAATCCATCATTTTACAGAGAGAGTACCATAGACCAGAGCGATCAAATCACTTATATAAAACTGATCTGTAATTATTCACATATCCTGGATGCCCTGCTCTTTGCAAGCTCCTTTCTGCAATCTAGCGGACTGGTTAAGGGCATGGACTCTGTACTCATATCCTTTGGGGTTCAAATACCAGCTTTGCCACTTACCAGTTGCTGACTGACCTTGAGCAACTCATTTGACCTCCCTGTATATTCCACCTGTAAAATGGGTATATTATTTGTTTCTGCATCATCAGGCTGATGTGATAATTAAAAGAGCTCATACATATAAAACACTTAGAAAAGTGCCTGGCATGTAACGAATACTTAGTAAATGTTAGCTTTTCTTGCTCTACTCCATCTCCTCCTCGTCCTCCTCCCCAGAAATACAATTATTATTTTCATCAGCCTTTGTAAAGGCTTCTAAATTTAGTTTTTATTTAATGTTACATGTGAATTTTTGGTGCTGCAAAGAAAAGTCAGAACTGGGACAAAGGATCTCTCAGCAAGGCAATCTTTACTTCCTGCAGAAAGGGCACCTTCACCAGCAGTCTTGCCACAAGAGTATAACAACAACAACAATAAAAAAAACCTGACATATTTATCCTTTATGCAGTTGGGGTTGTCCTTAATGCTGCGTATGATCTCTGTTGGTTGGAGCCAGACTTCACAATTTAAAAATGAACCTGACTGGCTAATAGCTTAAAACTTTATTGAATAGGTAAAGGCAATGGAGAACAAAAGGAAAAGAGGAAGTCCAAATAAGGAAGGGACAGGAAATTGCTTGCTAGAAAAGTAATAGCATAAATATCTTGGTTAAAGTACAAGGACATAGAATGTGCTACGTGCCTGTGAGCATGTCTAGCACAAATATCTTGGTTAAAGTACAAGAACATAGAATGTACTACGTGCCTGGGAGCAAGTCTAACAGCTACACAGAATAGAGCTTAAAAAAGAGTTATTAGCAAAAAGCAAGAAGGCTTTCAAGAAAGTGTTTAAAACAAACTATTATTTCTAACCCTTTTGATTTATTCTTTAACAAGAAAGGAAACTTTAAAGAGGAACTTTTCTACTTCCTGTATTTAATGATATGTTTACAATTAGCCGTGAATTTTTTTATTCATTGGCACAATTTGTTACCTCCAGAAGAATCCACTTTCAATACTCAGGCATAGAGCAACAGCCTGCAGTCAGGCAACACTCCTTATTCAAGTGTATATTTAGGGATCCTGTCCTCATTGGAGCCTGAGGGAGGGGCCTTCTTTGGCCACAACTTATAGGAATGGGTGGGATGGGGTAAAGATATATGTGGATATAAAAATTAAATTGGTTCCTCTCTTCCAAATTAATAAAACATGGTTCCTCTTTTCCACTATCTCTGGTTAAGAGAGCTTTATTTTCTCTTCCAGAGGCATGATTCCTATAGTGGAAAATTCAGACTATGTAAGGGAAGTAAATAGTATTGGTTGATGTTGAAAATTCTGTAGCCAGAGGAGCCTTCAGTTCTCTCCCAGGGCATCTTATGTAGGTAGCCTGTCCCATGCCTACAGGTTAGGCTACCTTGTTATTGATCACTTTGGGCATAAATAGCTCCTTAGATGGCACACAAAGAGTTTCCTTTAGAAAAGAAAGAGTTGTTTCTCCTTCAAAGCACTGCTGTCAAGGGACAACAACTCTAAAGTCAGACCCTTAAAAGGAACTCATATGAGATAAAAAATCCTTGATCATGGCATTTGCCTCCCTTATAATATTACTTTATCATCCTGGAAGCTCTGCGAAGTCAGAGACTCTGTATCTGTTTACAAATTCTCTATAGGATATTGTAGAACACCAGGCCTGGAGAAAGTGCTCAGTACATAATATTGTGAGTGAAAAGTGATAGGTCATTTTCCCTGGCATGCTTTCAAAGAAATAGCCCTCTCAGATAAATTTATTATTTGGGCAATAAAGCATATTTAAACATAATATCCACCCCACTATATAAGTAATAATTCTACTCTATTTAATGTATTAGTTATTTGAGGCCACTAGGACAATCACTTAGGTTTTGCAGGTATTTGCAGCATGGTTATAAGTCTTGGTGAGTCTGACTTGTTCAAGCTGAGTTTAGCGGGCTCAAATGGATGTAGAGGTGGGGACTTAGTAAACCTGCTCAAATTAGAAAGTTGAATTATTATGACTGTCCATCATATACTCTTCCTGATTTTCCTATCAAAAATGAGGCAATTAGACAATCTGGCAAAGAACTGAACAGATTGTACCAAGTAATCAGGGAATAATTCATTAGGAAAGATACCTGGTATTTTGGATACTTTTCTTTCAGTGTACCAAACTAAATGATAACCTGATAACCTAAAAGAGTCGTTTGATTACCCCAGTCATTTGATTACCCCCAGGAACTCAACCTAACTGTCTTTTATAAGGACCTGGGTAATGCCTGTTTGTGTAAATGAGCAGTATCAAAAGCAACAAATTATGACATCACTTTTTACCCTGTAAATTTAAACCATGACAAAGTGTTAATTTACAAAAAATTAAAAAAAAATCAAAGATTCTTTGCAATGGTGTCTATTTATAACTTTAACACAAGATGAAATTTACAAATCCTTCTATTTCATACATTCATAGTTCAGAAACAGCTACAGAAGATGCTCTCAAGAGGAAGTATTGTATGGCAAGTTGTAGCCCAGACTAAACTTTCATGGTTGAGTTATGAAGCTCTGACAACAGCAGTTTGCATAAAGGAGCTAACCGACCCTTGACAATAGTAGTTCTGGCAGCTGATTTAATACTATTTATTTCCCTTGCTTATGACATTAATGCACCATTGTTAATATCTGCTTAGCATAAGTCATGCTATTCATTTTCAAAAATTATTTGTCTGATGTGACCAGGGCTAGTCAATAAATTGATCAGAAAGAAGAACCTTGTATATCATTAAAAGACAGAAAAATAAGATGAAATACATGGTATTTAGACATTTTTTTTGGTAAGACAAACCTTTCTAGTTATAATTAGACCTTGCAACATACTTCCTACTTTCAGACAGCATGCAGGATAGTTGATTTCTAGCCAAGGCTAACATGACAATTACGTTATTATCTTTTTTTAAGCAAATCTGATGTTCTCTCTTCTGTGTCTTGTATTGTATTCTTTCAAAATAATTATTCGAAGATTAAAACTTAGAGAAAAGTAATCTGACACAACTTTGCTCTTAGTAAAATACAGAGAGTGACTGACAGCAAAGGTAAATGTTACCATATTTTAACCAATATTTACATTCAGATTAGCTTAAACAGATATATTCCAAAGACTACACAAGAAATATAGTCCAATTTTCTTGTGATTCATAATTCACTACTAGTATGAGTTTCTATGTCTTAAAAATCAGACAGCCTGTAAATGTGAAGATGATTTATTCAACATGAAGATAATTTTTGTACTTCCCTTCATATGTGAACTAAGGTTAGGTCTGGCTTATACTGTTTGTCATCAATTATATACATGGCACTCCCTAGTCTTATGAACAATTCCATTTGGTTACTCTGGTTAAACAATTTATTTTCTTCAAAAATCATAAGTAATGCTTACCATTTGGTATATTATATGATTAGGCCACTAGAACATTTAATATCTCCCCAACACACACACACACACACACACACACACACACACACACACACTCACACCCTCTGCAGGATATAAATAAAATAACAACCCTCCCCTACACATGTACCTGGATATATATATTCTATCCTCACAGTATATGATTAAATAACTATTATTACCATACCTATTGGACCTGGAAAGCCTCGTGGACCACTTTCTCCAGAGGGACCTCGATCTCCTTTTTCACCTGGGGGTCCAGGAGGACCTTTAAAAAAATTACAGTTACTTATGATAGTTGTAAAGCATCGGGAAAAAATGGGTTAGTCCTCTATCAATATATTTAGATAAGGAATCCAAAGTCTTTTTTTGCTGTGCAATAATATAGAATGAATAAGACTGAACTTCCTGAATGGAGGAGAATTCTGCTATTCTGGAATAGAATGCCCTATACTAATAAGGATGACACTGCCTCAAAGTAAACAACCTAATGACATATTAAATCTGAGTGTGCCTAACACTCCTCTAAGTTCTGAGACTCTGGAGACAGACAAAAGACCACAGGCTGGCACAAAGTCACATTAGTGTTGAACACATCCTAGGCAGTTAGACATTGAGTTAGATATAACATGGAGTTAGCTACTATATGGAAAATGTGTAAGTACGAACTTTAAAGACTCAAGCAAAAAGGAAAATTCACACACAGTAGACAAGCACTTTGTTGGAACTGACTATAAATTCAGATATTTGTTGGTGAGCTGGAGATCAGCATGAGTGGTGATGGCTGAAGTCTTTATTGAGAAGGTAGGATATGAGGGGTATTTTCAAGAATAAATAGAAGGAGAAGGAAAATAATTCCTAGGGAGTGAGAAAGATATGAGGAAAGGCAGGAAGGTGAAAATGAGTAGAGGAATTATTTTTTCAAGTAAAATATTAAGTAGAATTCCTAGATTGATACAGGTACTATAAAAAAAATGGAGACACTGCAAAGAAAACTTTTGTCTCATAATTTTTTCAGGTGGCTTTCCTGACAGCTGCAATTAAACAACACTGAATTAGTCATTTGTATTTCTTTGTCCAGCAAGACAGATATCTGGTCATCATGTCTTTAAAATGATTATACCCAGTATGTCTTTAGAAATGAAAGATAATCCTACCAACATTCTCTGTCCCATATGTAGTACACAGGACAAATAATCTTTTCTTTATTTAAAGAAGAAACTTAGTTTCCTTTCCAACACCGAAATAAAGAAACAGAAAGGAACATTATTCCATAGTGACATTTTAAAGGAAGCATTTTCAATTGCTACTGTTTGGTCACCTACATAATCCAAGGACAACATACAAATATATACAGCATCCCTGGTTAGAAGGCACTTGTTTACAAATTTTAATCAGGTGGGGAGACATAATATGTGAAGAAATCTAAGAGGGGGCCACATGAATAAAGATTATCTCATGAATAAGTACATGTTGTCTGTTTTTTGTTGCCTATTTTTACATCCTTGACTCTACTTCTGTCTATTTCTCTTCTACCTCCCATTTTCTAAGGTCCAATTTGGGTTTTAGAAGATCAAGATATCATTACTCTTCTCAATGGAATGTCCTTTTCTCTTCACATGCAACATTGGACAAATATTTAGTTATATTTTTATTATAAAAGCAACTCTACTAATAAGAAATATAAAAGCCTAGACAAGGCATGAGGACAAATATAATTCATAGTTGTGTTATTTTTGTTGGTGGGAGTGTAAATTAATTCAATCATTGTGGAAGACAGTGCAGCAATTCCTAAAAGATCTAGAAATAGAAATACCATTTGACTCAGCAGTCCCATTACTGGGTGTACCCAAAGGATTATAAATCATTCTATTATAAAGACACAAGAAGTACACTGTTTATTGCGGAACTGTTCACAATAACAAATACTTGGAACCATCGCAAATGCCCATCAATGATAGGCTGGATAAAGAAAATATGGCACATATATAGCATTGAATACTATGCAGCCATAAAAAAGGATGAGTTCATGTCCTTTGCAGGGACATGGATGAAGTTGGAAACCATCATTCTCAGCAAACTGACACAGGAACAGAAAACCAAACACCACATGTTCTCCCTCATAAGTGGGTGTTAAACAATGAGAACACGTGGACACAGGGAGGGGAACATCACATACCGGGGCCTGGAGGATGGAGGGGTATGGGAGGAATAGCAGGGTGTGAACAGATTGGGGAGGGGATAGCATTAGAAGAAATACCTAATGTAGATGATGGGGCAATGGATGCAGCAAACCACCACCATGGCATTTGTATACCTATATAAGAAACCTGCATAATCTGCACATGTACCCAGAGCTTTAAGTATAATAATTAAATTTTAAAAAGATTATTAAAATTTCCTTCCTGTGTGTGTGTGTTTTTCATGTAATTGTCATGCAAACAACATACTACCAGGGATTTAGAAATCAACCAGTGCATTATATCCTAAGGTGTAGCTTAATTGTTGCGAGACATATATTTAAGTGCAGCACAAGAAATGTCAGGTTTCTACAACAAAGAGAATCTGTATGTGTCTCCTGTTTGCTCCAGAAGAATGCAGTACTTCCCAAGAAAAGAGGTTTAGAAACCTTGCACAACCGTGAACACTCCATTCATCACTACACAGCAGTGAATCAGGGACAGACACTCAATTTACAGCCTGAATTTTGTGAACTAATTGAAGGGAAGCACAACCACAGTACTCAAGGATGGTGTTTTGAAAAAAGTGCACAAGCAAAGACTTCAGTTTAGTAACTAAGGTTCCAAAGCAAGACACAGACATTCTAGGAAAAACTGGAACATGAGGCAAGAAGAAACAAAGGGGCACAGGGAATAGATCTCGGCTGTTAGCCTCTGAAGTGGACTTCTCACCATTTCCTTGGTAAGCAAGAGACAGAAGGAGCTCTCCTAATTACTATCCTGTCCATTATATTACAAGTAATTATGGGAACTGTATACAGCTTTCATTTTGGAGTATTAGTTCAGTCACAGCAAATACATCTGTATTATTTTACAAAATTTGGAGTCAAAAATCCCTCTCTGTATTTTTACATAAAAACACTAATACCTGGTATTTGAATCATAGAATAAGAAAACCAGGTAAAGTTTTTTTATTAGAGTTCTAACTAGGCGTGTTGAAAGTACATTTTTATTGTCATTCTATTCTCCATGTAACATTAATCTCACTTATTATGCTCCATTTTTGTACATTGTTATAGCTCTTTTACTGTTTCCAACAGAATGTGGGAAGGATCTCAATAAATGTTTTAAGTGTCTTTTAGATACACTCGGGGAATAAAATAACAAATAATATACCACTTTACTCTTAGTTTCTGATGCAGAACTTTTGAGAACATTATCCACTACCTTGCCACCTTCCAAAATTAGCCTCCTGTCCATCTCTATTGTAGCCCACATCTTCACCATCACACAGGTGGACTATTTCTAGAGCTTTTTTATCTGGTCTGAATGTATTTTGTCTATTTCACCTCCAATTTCCTTCAGTGTTGGCTCTCCTCTTTTTGATAAAAATCTGTTTTGCAATGTCACCATCAAATTAAGGAAATGCAGTAATTTGTTCAGCCATATTATGGGAAAAAGCATGAAGACTTAGAGTCTTTTGTAGTCACTTTCTTTGTTCTTAGTTTCCATTTAGTCTTTTCAAAGTTTTGTTCCATATTGACATACTAACTGCCTCTTTGCATCAATAAATGGACAAAATGCTACCTCCCAGCTCCCTTGCTGAAATACGTAACAAAAAAAAAACCCCAAAGAAACAACTGGGATCATATTGGCCAAAATATGATTTACTCTAGTTCAAGAAGCCATAAAATTTACATTATTTTTCATCTTTAATATTTTAAATTACAGGTATAGGAATGATTCATAAATGCTATTATAATAATCTAGCATGAACAATTACTTCTGTAAAACACATGTACGAAATCTACTATTTAGCTTCCCCTATGATTATTTCTTAAAAAGGAAAATTAAGATTTTTTTATATAACACAAAAATGTACTGATATAGAATACTGATAATCATATATATCATAGACCAAAATTACCCAATTTACTAGAAAAGCAAACCCAGGCATGTCATATCATTTAAAATCCTCAGATGATAACATAACACTAATAATATCTAAGTTTCCAGAACTATGCTTCCTTAGTTTTTATTCGTTATGAGCATTAATTATCTACTTTGTTTTCTATCTTGTTTCATATTCAGATCATCATTGAAGTCTGACACATCTTCTAAGCCACTGCTGCCTAAACCTGCTTTTTTTCCCAGTTTTCATGCTCTGATTTAGATATGTTTAAACTGAAAGATATTTAAATAATGTTTAACTAAACATATTTATAGTGAATTAGCGAGTGAGTTGCCCAAGGTCTTAAAGCTAGTTTGGTAAAATGAGAACATTTTGCTCACTTCTTTCCTGACATCCTGTGCTACCCTGTTATAAATGCAATTGACTTCATTTTCCTTATCTGTTCTTCCATTATTCCTGAGCTGAATTTTTCCTTTACATAGTGGTTATATAAACTCACAATTCGGTTACGTTGCCTAGGCTGGTCTTGAACTCCTGGGCTCAAATGGCCGTCTTGTCTCACCCTCCCAAAGTGCTGGGCTTGCAGGCGTAAGCCACCACTTTTAGCCTACAGTCCAGCTATGAAAATCTCAATAATTAATTGTATAAAACTCCAAATTCAAATGTCATCAGTTGCTTTTTCATTTTCTCTACTATGATAATCAGTACTTCTTTTTTTGGTGCTTTTATATCCTAGAAAGCCAATAAATCTAAAAATTTTTCAAATGAATGTTAGCTTTTCTCACCAGAGAGTCAGATTATATTTTCTTTCTCTTAAATACCTTTCTCTAGAGTTTATCGCTTTGCTTCTTTAAATCATGTTGTCCCCAGCTCTCCACCAAACTCTACCTCACCATTTCCACAATGAAATTTTATGTAGTTCTTAAAGACTCTAATTATTATAACTACTGGAAAAATGTGTTAAAAAATCTTTGTCTCTTTGACTATATATTTAGTGATTATTGATATAAGGGAAAAGAGAACACAAAGTAATTACACTAATCCTACAATCAACATATGATAAAGGATAAAGCACTTATCAATTCCTAAAATATACTTCTTAAATTATAATTTAGTAAATATATATTTTATGGCTAGGTGCTTTAAGAGATATAAAGAACAGTTTCTAATTGAAGTAACTTGTGTCCAAGAAGAGTTAGCACTCTTGAGGAAGACAATATGAGATACTCTTAAACATATTATTATATTAAGACTTCTCTTGTAAGAGAATACTTAATGTTCTGTATTAAGACAGAAATAAATGTCAGCTGGGCATTACTCTTGGTAGAACCAGCAAAGGCTTCATGCAAGAGGTAGCATCTTAGGCACTGAATGATAAATAAGATATTTTCAAATTCATATCAAAGAGAAAATATTTCACATAAAGGAAAAAGCATGAGGCAGGATGTAGACAGTACTGGGTATGTTAGAATCACAGTCAACTTAGTTGAAATATTTGGTATACAAAAAAGACAAAGGAGGGAATTAAGCATTCAAGATTAGTTAAGAGACACACTGAAGACAACCTTGAGTGCTACAGACAAAAATGTATGTCTAATGAGGAGGCAACAGACAGTCTTTATGCAATCTAAGCCTTCTCCTTAGGAAGATTATATTCAACAAGGGTGCAAAAAGGATTATAGTCTGGGCAGGAACAACTTCAAGTCTGGGAAAAAGTGATAAGAATAATTTATATGAGGATATAAAGAAATGACAAGGGAATAGAGAATACAGAACGTTAAGAACTAATGGTGGCCTTGGGAGATAATAATAAAAATAATTAAAATTGGTAGCTTGGAAACCTGGAAGAATGACATTCCTATTACAGAGTGTAACTTGCTAAGAAGAAAGTGTTAGTTTCACTTGGTAATTCAACACATATATAATTGCTCACCCACCACTTTCCAGACACTATTACAGGCACTGGGAATGCAGAGGTGACAAGAAGGAGAAGACTTAACCTCACAGAGCTCACATTCTACTGGAGAAGATACATGCTAAACAAGTAAGCAAATGTATAGATGACATAATTCTATGCTGGTAAGTACTATGGGGAAATTAAAGCAAATCATGGTAGAGATAGATGGGGGAAGTTAGAAAAAGAATGGTAGAAGGCAGAGGAGGTAACTTCAAGTGGAGCAAAGAAGTAAAGATATAGAGAATGTTTCAAGAAAAAGAGAAAATGTCTAGTGTTCATTACAGACAGCACAAAGTGAAACAGGCACTTCCTCCTTATTAACTTTTCTTGTTTATGGAATTTAATTCTTCCACATTTCCAAGCTAGGCAGAAGGATGACTGAGGGAATATTTAGAAAATTGGAGCAGGGAAGTAGACAGGTGACAGACAAACTAGAAGTTTGGATTTTATCCCAAGTCTAATGAGAAAATATTGGAGTATCTTAAGCAAGAGAGAGAAAAGGCACATTTCATGTAAAGAGAGAAAGCACACACATCTAGTAACTGGTGTGGGTTTTCTTAAATAAATTTTTCTTTTTGTGCTCTATTTAGAATGCATTTAGAGTGGAAGTAGGGACACCAACTGAGAAGTGGATGCAGTACACCAGACTGGAATATGGTTGCTTGAATTCAAGTAGTAATAGAGAATAAGAAGTTGTTTTATTTGAGATATTATATGCAACAAGAATTAGTAGGACTTACAAATAGATTATCTAGAGAGTGAGAGCAAGAAGTCAAAGATAGCTTCTAAGATCATGGAGTGAGCAAGTAGTTGAAACCATCAAAAAAAAACTGAAAATGCAACAGATCTGGAGAGGTGGATAGGGTGGCTAGTTAAGAAGCAAGAATTTGGTTTTGAATTTGTAAAGCTTTGGGCATTTATTTGAAATCCAAAGTGCAGGTATCTAATTGTTAGAGAAAAATCAGATTAATTCAAATGTTTCTTAATTATCTGTTTTAATGTGATAAATACTATATGTAATATGTGTTCTAGATAAGCAAGCTATAAAGTAAATAATAAAAAGAACACCCTTGAAACATCACAATCCAAAAATAGGTATCTACCTAGATGTTCCCCCATCTCATTCATCTATTTCCTTTTCATAAACATTACGCTGAATTTTGTATTATTTTCTTAAATTTTAAAACAATCATTAAATTACATGTTTATGTTTCTGCATATGTACATTATTTAATTTTACTATGAGCATTAGAATAAAAAATTGTCTATAGTTTTCTGAGACTTGTTTTTATTTTTTTCTTGTCATCACTTGATTATTAAACTTAATTTTCTCAAACTAGTGTGTTTGAAATGAAATCACATGAAGTTCTTTGTTCTATTTTTCTAATTGCTAATGATATAACATGAGATTAAATATTAAAATCATGAAATAGAGATTAACAGACATGGAAACTGGAATGAGAAGATTCAATATGAATTTTATGTCAGTTACAGAGGAAAGGAGAGAGAATTGTGAAGCAATAGTCAAGGTGATTGAAGCTGGTTATATTCCCAAACTGACAGACACAAATCTGCTAATGTAAGAAGTACAACAAATGTTAAATGGATAACTTATCAATAAAAAAGAGATTAGTAAAACTGCAGATATAAAAGACAAAGAGAATGACAAATAGATTGGTGGCAGTCATTTTAAGAGCCACATGAAAAGCTTGAAGCCAGGGTACTAATTTTTTCAGCACACTGATAGAAGTAATAATAATAACTGTCAACCTAAGAAGTGTGTATGTAGTAAAATAATTTCAAAGATCAACACAAAATAAAATGAAATCAAAAGGTTTCACTATCAATTTACTTTCACTAAATGAACTTCCAAAAGATATACTTCAGGCAAAAGGAAAATAATCCCAGAAGAAATGACTGAGATACATTTGCATTTAGAAGGGCGAACAACCGGTAAATTCACCGGCAAATTTAAATAAATATTTATTGTGTTTGGTGGTGACTATCTGAGGAGGTAGTGCAGAGTTAAAAGAATTTACCGACCGGGCGCGATGGCTCAAGCCTGTAATCCCAGCACTTTGGGAGGCCGAGGCGGGTGGATCACGAGGTCAAGAGATCGAGACCATCCTGGTCAACATGGTGAAACCCCGTCTCTACTAAAAATACAAAATATTAACTGGGCATGGTGGTGCGCGCCTGTAGTCCCAGCTACTCAGGAGGCTGAGGCAGGAGAATTGCCTGAACCCAGGAGGTGGAGGTTGCGGTGAGCCGAGATCGCGCCATTGCCCTCCAGCCTGGGTAACGAGAGCGAAATTCTGTCTCAAAAAAAAAAAAAAAAAATTTACCACGATAGTTGTAGATAAAGACAGGCAGATTAATTAGTGAAAGTAGGAAGATATGTTACAAGGAGGCAATGAGCAGGCCAGCAGAAGAGGAGCTGACTTCCGGGAAACAAAGGCTTGCTGGAGATTTTATAGAATAGTGTTTATACTGTATGCTGAAGGGAGCTCGTGCAGTACTGATAAGCCAAGGTTACAATGCAAGGTAACTTGCAGGTATCTGTTGATAATTTTCACGCAGGAGGGCTACATGTTCTGGACCATGAAGAAAGGCAGATTTATAGCTTATCCTCATTTTCTTTTTGCTTTCCCTAGTCCCACCAGCTTGACTAATTCTCCCTAATTAGGGCACAAAAATATTGTCTGTACAAAAAAGAAAAATCATATTGACTAAACGCTTGATAAAAACAAAACAAAACAAAACAATAAAGTAGAATGAACTATACTAAAAATATTAGTAAACTAGGTAGGAGGACCATCAAAGCATTTTCTCTTTCTTATGTATTTTAGGATGAACATTAAGTTACTGATCAACTTCAGACTTCAAGATGAATGTTAAGGTCAACAATCAATAAAATTAGAAATACACTACAAAGTTTCTAAAACCTTTTTGGTAACTTTGGTAGAGAGAAAAATTCACCAAGAGAAAAATATTAATCGATCTGAAAGTGGCAATAAAGGAAAGCAAAGGAAACATAAAACAAACTGGAGAAAAACAGAGCACATAATAAGATACTAGAAATAAATACAGTGAAAAGAGATTGTCAGATTGTGTATTTTTTAAAATAAAGGTAAGCATTCATTACAAGAGACAAACCAAAAACAAAGGATACCAAAAGGCAAAAGGTTGCAATCAAAATATAGAAAAACTGTAATGTAAAGCTAAAGCTAAAATATCTACAATGTAAAGCTAAAACTAAAAGCACGTGTGTGTGTGTGTGTATATACACGCATACACACATGGATATATATATATATCACATATATATATATCACATATATATGTGTGTGTGTATATATATACATAAATTAGTAAGATTCAGTTCACCCTATCTTATTTTACTAACAGGTACTGCAGAAGAAATGGACACATCCATCATTATTTTGGAAAGTTCAAAAGATCTTTTTAATTAATAATACAGTCAGGTAAGAAGTAAAAAAGACTGGAAGTTTTGAAAAAACTATTAATAAGCTTGATCTGTGAACATGTGAAGAAACTTGTAATTACAGAAAATTTGTATTTGTCTTCAGTACTTTTGAGGTAGTTTTTTAAAATGAGAAAATCATTAGATTTTAAGATATATTTTGTTTATCTCTTTCTATTTGAAGGATACAAGGCTACTGTTATTTTACTCTATCTTGATCTAATTTTAATATTTTTTCCTCTGGGTATCTGCAGTAATTGTATGCTCAAAAACTATTTCTTTCAAACCATAGGATTTCAAATACAAATTTCTGCATGTATCAGTACATTTGAATATATATCATTTTCTGGAGGAATGACAAGACATTTTACCTTGAATTAAAGTGATATTTCTCAGTGTCTGAGAATGTTCCCAGTCTTTCAGTCTGAGATCATTAGTGATGTTATTCAGTACTTTCACTTCTCCTTTTATTTCCTGCTCCAAATGCACTTGTTCTTCTTTCATAGCCATGATTTCTGCTGATACATTGTAAACACGCCCCTCTAATTTACTGATTTCCTGTAAAACATAAGTGAGCATTCACAACCTTGGCTACATATATAATTATCAAATATGAAAGTTCAAGAAACCCTGGGAGTTCAGGTTTTTAAAAACATATTACAGGAATGTTATGGAATAAGAATACAGAAATTAGAAAACCTTTTAAAGTAGTAATTCTATAATTGTAAAACATTTCCTCTTTTGACCGAATGGCTGAATGTTTACAATCACAACCCCCTCCAAGGAATCCATTTAACATATTTAAGATACATTTCTATTCCCATATATATAGACGTCAAAATGCTAACAATAAAATAAACATCATATGGTTTTAATTTATCTGAAGTATAATGTCTTCATATTGTAGAGTCACAATATATTCCAATTCCATAAATTTGATGTATTTATATGGGAAACTGTCTTATAGTAATAAGCAAATGTCATAATCCTCAGTGGTGATGAACACTGACAAAAGATTTTCATACTCAGTAAAACCTCAAAATAGCATATTAACAAGGCTTACTTTCAGTTTGCATTGCCTCTGTATTTGAGGCATTGTTAGTGCTTTGTGTTTTCAAATACATATACATTTTGTGTATATGTAGAGAGGATCTTCCTATAGGCTGGAATATGTTTTTATATTTTACTTAATAATATATTAAGAATATTTAATATTAAATTACTTTAGAGACTGACATTTTCAATAATTTAGTGGAAGTGAAACTATTTCTCAAAATTTATTTAGGATTCCTGTTCATAGTGTTCTGAGCTGTGTACTTTTCTACAACCTTAAACAATGCTGTCATGAACACCATTTTAAATGTATTTACATACTGATACAAGTACTTTTACAGAACCTTCCTGGAAGGTGGATTTGACCAAAGAGACTAAAAATTAAACAGCATTTTGTTCAAACATTGCCATACTCCTCGCCAAACACATGCTACCATTTTTTTTCCTCTTACTGTGTATCACTATCCATTTTTTGCAGCCAACAACTGGGTACCATTAATATATTTAAGTTTGTGCAGTAAGAGTAGGTACATAGCAAATTATTATCATTTAACTTGTTTTTCAAATTATAATGAGGTTAAAGTATCCAGTCATTAAATTTTTGACAATATTTATTAATTTTTCTTTTAGATCCTTTGCTTGTTTTTCTCTTTTGGTGTTTGGCTTTCTCTTTGTGATGAACCAAATCTCATCTATTCTGGTAATATTTTGTGTCTCTCTGTTCTACATTTTATCCCACTTTTGTCTTCATTGTATGTTTATTATTTTATTAAGTACTTCTATGTTCTAAAGTAGATAGATACTCATTTCCCATTTGCACATGGAAATAGGCCCGTGGTATATGTTTCTTTGATCCAGACGTAAAGTGAAAATTATATTCTTTTGAACTGGACTGAACTGAAGACAAGTTGAGGTGAGAGGTTTAAGATGATCAGGGTATAAGACCTTTGACAATAAATGAACGTGCATCTAGGTTTATCCTTCACTGGCACTATACTTAAAGAGAGAGGCTTACCAGCTTTCATTGCTCTAACTGTGCCTTCTCCCAACCAGAACCTTATTCTAGACTAGAATTTCTCTATTCGCACCTCCTCCTTCCCTGACCATTTGACATTTTCTGTACAATACCATCATTATAATAAAGGTGAAATAGTGAGCATGGATGTTTGGAGGGCACAGCACCATGATAAATATCCTTGACTTAATTTAGGTGGCTAAAAATTGCTGCAAGTATGACAGCTAGTTCCAGATATTCAGCAAAAGGAGTTAAGGGACCAGAAAGTGATTTTGCTCCCTAGAAACTAGGAATTATTCGAGTTTTTCATATGTAAAAGCTTAGGCTACCTTCTTTTTCCCTCCTTGAAAACTGCATGTGGCACTTACATTTGTCAAATTTCATTGGAAATTATTTTTACTGGGAGGAGAAAAAGTGTATTTAATTTTAAAAAATCCTATATGGCGTCCATGCAGACCTTCCACCCACTGCCAGCGGTGACCTTCCTAGAAACAGGCGTTTAATTTTGCAGTCAAACAGTCCTTTTCACCTGTCAAAGGAGATGATAAGTGGCACCCCATCTTTCATTTGGTGCCAGTGTTCTTCCTTTTTTCAAATTAGTGTTTGGTGTGTCCTTGATAAATGTTATGCTGGTATCACTTATAAGCCATTTCTTCAAACATCATTTACAAATTAAGGCATTAATTCTGCACTGGGCTAAATATTCAAAGACCAATAAAGTTATTCAAGCATAGGGGACAAGAGTCCCAATGTTGTTCTTCAATGTACACAGGAGTACACACACACACTCACTTTCTCTCTCTCTGTCTCTCTGTCTGGTACTGACCTAGTTTCTAAGTCTCTATGAGTGACTACTATTTTTAAAGATATATATACTCTAATCCCAGCACTTTGGGACGCCGAGGCAGGTGGATCACGAGGTCAAGAGATCGAGACCATTCTGGTTAACGAGGTGAAACCCCGTCTACTAAAATATAGAAATTAGCTGGGCATGGTGGTGCGCGCCTGTAGTCCCAGCTACTCGGGAGGGTAAGGTAGGAGAATTGCTTGAACCCAAAAGGCAGAGGTTGCGGCGAGCCGAGATCGTGCCATTGCACTCCAGTCTGGGTAACAAGAATGAAACTCCGTCGAGAGAGAGAGAGAGAGAGAGAGAGAGAGAGAGAGAGAGAGAGAGATAGTTCTGAAAGTTTCCCCATTCCCTCGTATTTCCTTTTCTAATGCTGAAATTCCCTCCAAAACATAAGTGTAATCTATCGAAACTCAAACACCTCACTGATCACCAGATTTTGATTGTTTTCATTAATTATCACTGCAAATAGGTTCAAAATTTCTACCACCTTCCAAATGGCTTCCAATTTGCTTTTAATTCCTCACATATGTGGGTTCAAAAGCATTCCATGGTCGGCCACGGGCAGTAGCTCATACCTGTAATCCTAGCACTTTGGGAGGCCAGAATGGGTGGATCACCTGAGGACAGGAGTTCAAGACCAGCCTGGCCAACATGGTACAAACCCTGTCTCTACTAAAAATACAAAAATTATCTGGGTGTGGTGGCACATGCCTCTGATCCCAGCTACACAGGAGGTTGAGGCACAAGAACCACTTGAACCCAGGAGGCAGAGGTTGCAGTGAGCCAAGACCATGCCATTGTACTCCAGCCTGGGAAACAGAGTGAGATTCTATCTCCAAACAAACAAAAACATTCCATGGTCCTGCAGGATTTGAAGCATTGACAGAATCCAAAGTATCCTTCTTTTTCTATCTCATCCACCTTCCCTCTTTCTTTACCTCATCTCAGCGCTCCTCTGACTCTATTTCTACATAAAATAGTATTTCTTGTCCACTATTCTTTCCCTCCAACTCAGTAAATGTCTATCCTGATAACCAGCATTTTAGCTTCCTCACTTTCTTGCATTCTTCAAACCTATGAACAGTTTCTTCTTTGTACACTTTCTCTAATCTTCCTATGGCCCGTCTTTGATATCCCAATACCCTTTGATATGCTTAGATACTTACTAGCAATGTAGGAAACACTGATAGATTTTAGAAGTGACATGGAATAGAAACAGAGTATCAGGGTGTTGGGATGAGGTTCACCAACAGAATCTCCATACACAGACTGTAATATCATTTTGTTTTGACACCTTAAGGTGAGGAGCATGTACAAGTTCAAAAATTCTGAGTGCTTTAAACTTACAAATAAAAAAATATATAATTTATTAACCTGTTTATTCTCTAATCAATAATTTAGTTGGTTTTGATCTGATGTTACAGCTTCAGAGATTTATCTTTGCTCTATAAGTAACATCCCTTTTAAAAAATCACTACTGTGTAATAACATAACATACTGTATTTGCATTATAATATTGTATTTATACAGAAAATAACCTCATTAAGTAGGAATTGGTCTATTCAATAAAATTTACTTGAAAGATGACAGCATTGCTTAACTAATAATAAAAATTTTATAGACCACATTAATTATAATCTTGGGTCTTAGGTATTTTTAATATAAAAGTTATTTTTTCATGTCTTTTTCAAAGCTATAGTCAAACATTTATTTTTCATGGAGAGAAACAAATTATCCAACAAAAAGGATATACAATTTAGAAATAAGCGATTTGCTTCTTAACTCCTTTCACATCAATACAAAATAATCCAGATCTTAACCAGGGCTGGCCACAAAGTGGTCTGGAGCAGACATCAGAAAATTATGGTTCGTGGGCTAAATTCAGCTCATAGTCTGTTTTTGTAAAGAAACATTTGTTGTATCACAGATCTGCTCACACGTCCATGTACTTTCTGTGCCTGCTTTTGCACTACAATGGCAGCAATGAGTAGTGACAACAGAGATCATATGATCCTGAAAGCCTAAAATGTTTCCATCTGGCCTTTAACAATGAAACTTTGCCAACAATTGGTTTAGAGTGGTGTTGCAATAATGAAAGGGATATCAGATGAATCTACAGACTGATTGTGATGATGCTTTTTTTGCTGGCTTCTTGCTATTTAATTAATATCATACCTTGCATAGAAGTAGAAAACTTAATGTGTATTTGATCTTATGATGAATGTATATAATGAATATACATTATCATCCTATGGTTATCCCATGATGATAATATGTACACATTCAAAATTTAATTTTTTATAGTTATTTATACACATAACATCATATATATACCTGTTGGGAGTGGCAAAATAAATTATTTTAAAATTTAGATTTTTTTAGGATAACCATATAAAATAAAAGGTTTCCATTCCTTTGATGATGAAGAAATACTGGGTCTGTTGCAAAATTCACAAATATAGAGTGTTCACTTCTCAAGATCTGCTAAGATAATCTAAAAATTATGATTGGTTTAGGCAGTCTAATAAGACATTTTAACATTATTTATATAATGGTAGTCTATACTCAATGGGAAAAAAACTCCCCCTTTTCCTAAGAGTTTGGAAAAGGAAATCCATTTCAAATCCTTAAACACTCATTCAAAATCTTTTGACAAGTTCACCAAAGAAATCAGGGTAAACAGGATGATAAAACAGGGTTTGCAACTTTTGCTTTCCTTACTGCCTAAGGAGAAAAGATCTGGATGGATTCAATTCCAGCATATGAACTTGTAGTACAAAAACTCTTACCTCTTGTTGCTTAAAGGTACTCTCTTGCATTTTGCCATTCAGCTTTTCTATGTTGAACTGCAAATCAAGCAATGTGGTATTCAAACTTATTAAGGACTTGGAGATTTCATCTATTGCATTCTCATGTCCCTGGACTGAGGAAAACAAGGTACGTAGCTGGAGAAGAACGTCATTAAATCTTTGATCAATTATCAGGCTGAAATTTTGGAAATGCTCTGATTCTACGAGGTTGGCTTCTACATCTGAAATATGTTGGATTCTCCTCTCCATGTTGCTCATGTGTTCCATAACGAGTTCTTGAAATCTCATTTCCTCTTCGCTGTCATTTCCTTTTCCCATAAGATTTTGTGTTATGTCATTTACATTAGTTGAACCAACTGAGCAATTCTTCGTTTCCCACTTTAGGAGTTGAGCTGTATATTTAAGTAAAAATAAACCAGTCATGGCCTGATACTTAAACGCATACACTATCTCATCCCGTATTGTTCCATTCTGATCATTTTATTCTATTCCATTCCATTCCAGCATTTGAGTATTTGTTTTAAATCTACAACATGTGAACTACAATAAGTATGTTGCTGAGAAGCATACATTCTCCCTTTCCTATTTTACATTAAGATTAATTATATCATGCTTTCTGAATTGCTGCTTATCTGAATCTTCTTGGCCACTGATTTTGGCTTTTCCAGTTCAAACAAATTCCATAGATTATGAAAGGCAATGTATCTATGAAACCATGGTTAGAACAAAATGGACTAATGCTTAATAGAGTTTCTAAAGTAAGCATGTTGAATATGTTAACGATGCTGCTGATGATCACGATGACCACAAAAGCAATATGTGGTAAAACACTGATGTCATGTACAGCATGGATAAATTGTTGGTTTATCTTCTTCATTCTTTCACTTAAGCTGCCAGAGATATGTCACTTTCAGTTAACGCAGACCTAATTCACAGTCGGTGGAGCAGGAAATTGGGCAGATACATTTGTTCTCTTTACAAAGGTACTATTTTTATAGAACTCCTTTTTAACTATTGTAAAATATAATTTACCATGAATCTCATTGTTCTAGCTGAAACTATAACATTTTGGTGTATGTGTCTCAACCCTGGTTCTGCCTCTATTATCATATTATTATCTTACAATATAACATTTGTATACAATCTGGAAACCACTTTTTAATTTAATGTTCTATCATAAGTACTTTTTCATATTACTAATGTTTAATATTGTTCTACAAAAATAATTTAATAAATTCTATTGTATTTTATGTACAGATCTGCCAGATTTATTTTAAAAACAACTGCATTTAGTTTGCCTCTGTTTTCAGTAATATAGTCAATGTTTGGATGAACAACCTTGTGATTATTTCCAAAAGAAAAAAATTATATTTCAAAATAGTATTTTAGGAACATACTGAGCTGCTGACAGATATCCCCAAATGGGCATATGTTCTCTAAACAAGCTAATTATCACTTTGAAATAATTTAGAGCAATATGTTTTACAGTTTTTTTAAAAAAGGCATAAACTTTAACTTTTTATACAAAAATAATGTATAATTATAGACAATGAGGAAAATGTTAAACACAATCTTATCATTCAGTGATGGTTAAGATATTTTATTTTTCTGTAACTCTATGTGTCAATTTATACCTTTTAGCAACATTTATATTAGTCGTATTCATATTAGATTGGATGTAAAAGATTTTCCACATTTGACAATTATGGAACACTAAAAAGAACAATTTCCTATGGCTCAAAAATATATGCAGCTCCACCTGAGTCTATCAATTTTCTTAGCCAAAGTGATAAGGTGACAGTACCAGTTTTTTATATTTTTGAGGATTAAACAACAGATGAAAAACATTTAGTTCTACCCTAAGTCAAGGATTCTGTTCCATAAATTAGAGCTTGGTATTTACATAGGATCTAGTTCCCTGATTCTAGAATCTTTCTACACTCCTCCATTACCAACTAGGTTACTCTGAGCAAGTTACCCATCCCTCTCCTGGCTTTGGTTTTCTCAATTTGTAAAAGTAACAATGACCTCAACAGTGGTGCTGAGCACAAAAGCAATAGGCTTATCTATTCTTCTAAAGAGCCTTATATGTGAGAGATGTTATCTTGGTTACAGAGTCCACTGTATTTTTTATCTTTACTTAAAGAGGCAGTTTGATGAGGGTTACTACTGCAGCTATCATTACATTAGGAATGTCAAATATGTAATTAAACTACAACTCTAATTAAATATGTAATTAAATTCTAATTTCAAAAAATGCACGATACCATATTTTTCCTGGTTGTATTAATTTAATATTAGCTAACTTGATATAACAAAATATGTGTGACAATATTTTCATGCAATCTATAATAGAGATTGTATATTTTCTATATTTCTTAATTTATCAATAACTTGGACATACAAGTATATTTCTTAACTGCATCTCATCACATTTATTAAATTCACTGTGGGGAGCAAGTATGGGGTTGACAGCCTCACCCATGCATTCATTAATTCTATGATTTATTTATTACATACTTACTATGTGTAAAGCATTGTTTGAGTAACTCTGGGAATAAAAGAACAGTTGGGAATGAAATTTGACAACAACTAGAAGTCCGAATAAATAATTTTTAAAAAATTACTCAAAATATTCTTCTAACATCTAAAAATGGAAATACCATTTGAACCAGCAATCCTATTACTGGGTACATACCTAAAGCATTGTAAATCATTCTATTATAAAGACACATGCACACATATGTTTATTGTGGCAATGTTTACTATAGCAAAGACTTGGAACTAACCCAAATACCCATTGATGGTAGACTGAATAAAGAAAATGTGGCACATATACACCACGGAATATTATGCAGCCTTAAAAAAAGATGAGTTCATGTCCTTTGCAGGGAAATGGATGAATCCAGAAACCATCATTCTCAGCAAACTGACACAGGAACAGAAAAGCAAACACCACATGTTCTCACTCATAAGAGCGTACTGAACAATGAGAACACATGAACACAGGGAAGGGAACATCACACACTGGGGTCTTTAGGGGGCTGGGGAGATTGGGGAGGGATAATATTAGAAGAAATACCTGATGTAGGTGACTGGGGGATGGAGGCAGGAAACCATCATGGCATATGTATACCTATGTAAAATCCTGCAGCAGATGTACCCCAGAACTTAAAGTATAATATTAATTAAAAAATTCCTCTAACGTTGTCCTTTTTTAAAAATTATAATTTCCTTTGAAGTAGTAGTTAAGAATTTGGATTCTAGAATAGAACTGCCTGGGTTAGCAATTCAGGTGCAGCCCTTTATCAACAATGGCATTGAACAAATTACTTAATCTGTCATTGCTTCTATTTCACCATCTGTATAAATGGGATACTAATAGTCAGTGTCCAGATAATTAAACGAACTCTATGTAAAATACTTAGACCACTTACTGGCACATAATAAACATTTGATAAGTTTCAGATGTTTGCTATTATTAATATTTGAATTCAATATGTGTGATTCAATAACCTATATGCCCAAAACTGATTAACTATGGGGAATTAGCATTGTGATAAAAAACTTTTTCTGGAGTTGGATGTTCCCATGAGCAGTTATCTCTGTGCTTTATTTTACTACGCACATTGCTCTGATTGCTCAACCATATAATTTTACTTTCCCTGGAAGTAAGTTTTATTTTGTATCAGTAAAGCAAATATTTTTCAAAATACGGAAAGTGAAGACCCAATTTGACTAAAGTCATGTGACCAACTATTTTTAATTTTGACAACGGGTTAAACATGAGTTGACAGTAAATGCTACATTTTGTTTACAGATCTAAAAACACAAATTGCCTGTTCTATCCAACCCTGAGTGAAAACTAACTTTCCTTCAGAATGTTAACTTTTTATCATATATCTACGTAAAGAATGCCAGGGTTTATATTTCCAAAAGTTCACTTATTTTTATTGGAGAGATGGCATTTTGTGACTTTTCTATTCCACATATGAAAGGAGACAGACTTTTATGAAAACCTAAGGACAGGGTTATATCTGATTCTAAAGATCATATCTACTCTTTCATGTTGGAATTATCTTTTTCCACCCCCAATGTATATTGTTTTCAGCTAAAGAATTTTTACTATTTCAGTAACAATTATATATATATATATGTATATACTTATATGTATATATGTTATATATATATATACAAGTATATATATAATTGTTATATATATACATTTTATCTTATTGTTCTGACACAGTATTATATGGTTATACTCTGATAGTGTTTCAGCAGCTTCTTTAAGCAAAGGTAGTAAATGGAATAAACCTAATAATTAAAAAAATAGCTCTCAATATATAATTCACTTCATATTTAGAGTTTTATGTACAATATTCTATTTTACCCATCAATTCATATTTGCCAAACTTCTATCATTTTAGGGATATATTTTGTCTACATTTGTAATGTTTACGCCAAGTAGAGATACATATTGTCTTTTAGTTTCTTTTTGAAAATATACTGATCTACAAACTTAACTAAAGTTGTAAGTGGATTGTCAATTGTTTATTGTTAATACATGATAAACACGGTAAGGTCTTTTCCAAATTTTGGTGAACCTGAGACTGATGTGAACTTATACAATTGGAACATTCTTAGTGTCTTGTCAATTTTAGTATGTACCTATGTAGTTTTAGTAAACAAACTACTTCAGATCAACCATTGTCAACTTCAGAACAACTGTGTGAACTGGTAGTATTTTCTAATAGCTCAGACTTTGAACTTGGTTAGAACCTTGAATTCTTTTCCGATTCCTGTTTGTACTCTCCATGAGCCTATGAGGAGCAGTAGTCCCTGGTGTTGGTTTTGCAGGCAGAGGTTTGTATAAAATTGATGAAATCTACCCAAATTCTAATTGGCTTATGGCTAACAATCCCAACAATGAAGCATTCTTTAGTTATGCATTTCAAATCATAGGTAAGCATAGACATAAACAAACATAAAGATAACCTTGATTTACTAGATAATTGTTTAATGCCAAACACGTCAGCTCCTATTACTCAGACAGCAGTAGTCTGGTTGGTTGGTTTGGTTGTTATGGTTGGATTTTTGTTTCAGTTTATTTTTAATGGCCAAAAAGATGTTAATTGTTACCTGTGGAAAATATTTTCCTGTGGTGACTTTGTTTTTTGTTTTGTTTTTTATTGGTCAACCATGTCGTTTTATAAAAACTTAATTAATCTGGAAGACAATAGACCAGAGGATAGGGTTCAGAAGTCTGGGATGGGAACTCTAGCTCCAACACTGAGTTGTCTCAATTTGCTTATGTGGATAATGAGAATAATTATAGCATCTGTATGGAGGGTAAGTTTAAGGGTGTATTATTGTTTTTATGATTTCTTTCTTAGTGGAATTTTCACTGTGTCTTGGAATACTTCCTTAGACTGCTCTGTAGTGGAGGAAGTTTGGTCTGGCATCTAGGAACATTTTTTTTTGTTGTTGTTAAGCTGCTTAGTATGCACATAAAAATGTATCTTATTCCCAGGCTATCTCTTGTTAGAGAATATGGGCAGACATTTTATCAGCCACATAGAGAAGAGGAGAGCTACAAGGCACATAAATTCAAATACTAATCAAAATACATCAAATCCATCCAAAATTCTCCTAGGGGAATGAAATTTACATATGTGCTTAAGGTGTATACAAGCTATTCACTCTCATAGAAACAGTCAAATCTATCCCCGGTTCAAGTCAGACTCTCCAAAAATATACATACCTTGAGAACATCATTTTGAGGCCAAGTAATATGTTTTATTATTTTTTCTTTGAAAGGATGCTATCAGGTTATTTTTAGAGATATTTTAAGTAATATCCCTATGAAAAGTGTGGTCATATAAACTGGATTTTGCTAAGCTGTAGGCCACTATTCTACAAGGTCTCCTCTCTTTGAAGACTAACAGAAATATTTTGTCAGCTCTCAGTACTAAAAGTTTAAGAGCTTTTCCTGGACAACAGGCTTGTTTTTAATATAATAGCCAGTATTAATATAAATGATCATGTAATTTCTTTACATTGGCAAAGTGAATACTTTTGAAATTTGTCATCCACATTAGAAGGAGCAGACTCTAGAGGATAATATATCTTGAAAGAGTTTAATCCTTTTCATTTTACTTTTACAAATCTATATTTTTATCTTGCACTTACTTTTTCTGTTTCCTTTTTGCGAATTTTAAAACTTTTTCTACTTAACTTTGCAGAATCTGTTTTTTAATCTAATAAATTTGTAGGACACTGTGTAATACAGTATTTTCTTTATAAATGTATACAGAAGACCAAATGCTTCTTTTTTGCTTTGGCAAAGAGTAATTCACGGGATGAGTTGCTAAGTTTAAAAACTCTGGATTACATTACCGGCCACTATTCCAATGAGAGGAATGAGAACTGCAAACACAAGGAGGTAAAGGGCAATCAGTGCAGCTTTGAAGGACTTCAGTTTCTCTTGAAGGGAAGCGCTGTTTTTAGGATCTAATAAAACACAAAACCCAGCCTGTGGTTAGAAAATGTTATCTTGTTCCATAATTAAAATAGTCTTACTCTCCAATTATACTGTTACTACCAAGCCTACTGAAATAAAAAAAGAGAGAAAATTGGTCCACATTTATCCATAGAAAGCAAAGGGACAGTCACAGGAAAGGCCAATCCAGGTATCTATCATTATAAACACTTGATTGACTTATCCACTAACTAAACATCCACAATAAAGTTACGGTGATCTACAAGTTGTGCTTGTCTGATTTTTTGGAATTAGTTAAGAAATTTTAATATCAATACTTACATATGCAAACATAAATTTTATTCATTTACTCATTGTTCACACGGGAATATATTCTGGGTGACAATAAAATTTTCTAAAGTAACTATATAATTTCTTAATATTTTAAAATCAGATAGGGCAAATATTTATTTTCAATGACTATGATGTTAAAATAATTTTCTTCATAGTTTTGTATTTGGATATCTCTTATGATTTCAATACAATATAAACAATATTTAAGAATAATTAAATAAACAAAGTGATACGCATTTTGACTTTAGAATGGATCAATGATGCCCACCCTCTCTATGTTTCAGAACATATTTTAAAAATAGTAACCTTTTATTCATATGCATTTATACAGAACTGTGATTTGTATAATGGGATGATAATTGTAACTGTAGTAGAGACAAATCAATATGGAGGGAAACGGTAGATGACGAAGACCCTTCTCTGATTAGATGAATACAGCAGTCACTAAAAATTTATTTTCTATGGTCATTGCTTTTATCGATCAATTAAGAAAAAGTAAATTTTGCTTTCAGGTTGTGAATTCTTAAATTAAAAACAAAGTTTAGACATCATTCAATAATGTTCTATAAGGGATTGAGAGGAAAAGAGAGAAAATTTCTTAAAAGCAAAGAAAAGAGCTGGCTGGGGTGGCTCTTGCCTGTAATCCCAGCACTTTGGGAGGCTGAGTGGGGAGAATGGCTTGAGCCAGGTGTTTGAGACCAGCCTGAGCAACATGGAGAAACCCTGTCTCTACGAAAAATACAAAAATTAGCCAAGTGTGGTGGCATGTGCCTGTAACCCAAGCTACTCAGGAGGCTGAGGTGGGAAAACTGCTTGAGCCATGGAGGTCAAGGCTGCAATGGGCTATGACTGCACCACTGCACTCCAGCCTAAGTGACAAAGTGAGACCCTGTCTCAAAAGTAAAAAAAAAATTTTAAAAAAGAAAAAGAGAGAAAGGAAAGGAAAGAAAAGATTTAAAGAAAAAAGGAAAAGAACTCATAATAGAAACAAGTTGAGATATATTCCACCTGCCAGGTTGACTAAGCCTGAAAAGTAGCAGTCACCTTCTTCATCTCTAATTTACAATCGCAAATGTGAATTTTGCTTTTAAATAGCTCTCAAAAATATTGGTTGCTTTTTCTCTGCTCCCAATGTCTCTCTTCTCCTTCCTCAAACTCTCATCGTTTCTGTCTGTAACAGCCCTCCCTCACTATTATCTGTTTTTATATGTGCCTCACTTGTGCCTCACTTTTGCCACATCCTCCCATCCACCCTTCACACAGAGCACAAGATCCACTGTGCCCTGGAGTTGCAATCTGTATTTCAGATTTGCTACGTAACAACTCCTATGTGATCCTTTAACTTTGTATATGCTGCTTCTTCAAATTGAAATGTCTTCTCTGTCTTTTCTGCCTCCACCCATCCCCTTAGCGATAAGTATTTATACTTAGAGGTTTACTACAATTATAAGTAATTCTGTCATGACAACTTGAAGGCTCCTGTTCAGATACAGCTGAGTATTGCTACTTTTGAGCTGTTGTAACCTTGCAAATGGGTTTCACCGCTGGTATATGAATTGAATGGTGTGCCCTCAAAAGATATGTTGAAGTTTTAACTGTAGGTACCTGTGAAAGTGAGTTTATTTGGAAATAGGGTCTTTGGAGGTATAATCAAGTTAAAATGAAGTTATATTGGAGTAGGGTGAACCCCAATCTAATTACTGATGTCTTTATAAGAAAAGAACGAACAGCTACACAGAGAAGGAAAAACATATAAAGAAGGAGGGAGAGATGAGAGTGGTGAGGTACAAAGGGAAGGAACACGAAGGGGATTGCCAGGAGCCACAAGAACTAGGAGGAGGCATGGAAGATTCTTCCCTAGAGCCTTCAAAAGGGCACATGGCCTTCCCAACACCCGCATTTCAGCGTCTTGATAGCAGAACTGTGAGAGAATACATTTCTGTTGTTTTAAGTCTCCTAATTTGTGACTATTTACTACCACAACTCTAGAAAACTAATACAGGCACCTACCACCCATGATTTTCAACTATTAGTTCATGGGTCATATTCAGCTTCGATCATATTTATCTCCAAGACCTCATATTGTAGCTAGGAAGTCAGAGGGCTCAACTGGCATTGTAGATTAATTCAATTTCATATGATAATTATGGCTTACTTTTATATAAACTTATTTTTATTCTGCCTCAAGAATACCCCTGTTTGTCAAATACATCTTATTTTAATATCCATGTACGTTTAAGGTAAGTATTAAGGCTATAATTTTACAGATTGTCAATAACTCTAAGAACAACCTCCATGAGCAGCCCATCACCTTCTACTTACAGGGAGGAAGCAAAGCTGTCATTGAGCGAGCATCAAATTTCACAGACTCGGAGTAGCTATTAGTGTCCTCCTGTTGATCATGAAAGCCATCCCACTGCTCCATACTTCTACGAAACAAATGGAAAAATATATTAATTCCACATGAAGTGGCCAGGGCTCTTTTGCATAATGTTTCAAATTGAAATTTCAGTTTGAAATTGAATCTTTATGCTGTGACACAATCTATAATAAATAAAATTTAATTTTAGCAAAAAACACCCTCATAATTAAATGTGTATATCTGTCATATACAGCAATGTATTAAACTTACTCATAAGTTTTAACTTCCATGTGAAAAGACAAATTTACGTGGGTCCCTCTCATGTATATTTCTGTACACAAATGTGTATCTCTATTTGTAGATGTGTGTTTTTTGAGTGTGGGTAAAGAAGTAGCTCTTCTTAGTTGAAAACTTTTTTACAAGTGACAGAAAATAACTTGTAGAATGATTTTAACAGTAATTTAATAAAGCAAAAGAAAGGAAAAAAGATGGGTCTGAATCTGAATAATCCGATTTGGCTTCTTACAAAAGTCCATTTTTCCAGAAAATTATTTTATTTGCCTCCACCTGAGAAAAGAGGATATGGGCCCTATGCCTACCTTCCCCCATCCTCTTCCTTCTCAGTGGTCATATCCATTGGAAAGATTTCATAAAAAGAGACTGATGAGCCTCACCCCCCAGAGTTTCTGATATTTGGGGTGGGGGGTCTCGAGAACTTGCAATTCTGACAAATTCTCAAGAGGTGATGTAATTGGTCTGAGGACCACATTTTAAGAACCTTTTTCATCAAAAGAAATTATATGCCTTCTTAGGTTGGACACAGTTCAGTTCATCTGACTGATAAATTTAGCACAAAGCCAACATCTTCTGATCATTTCTTATTTTCTTGAATGCTGAGTAATGCATTTAGCACAGTGCAGTTCTAAGTGAGTGCACTGGCAGCTTCAGGACAGCAAACTCAAATCCAGCCCAGAAAATGAGGGCCAATCATTCAGATGCAAATTTTCCTCCCACTGTGGGGAGAGGCAGTGACATGTAAGGATATGACTCAACTCCTGTCAATATATTTTGAACCTATAACTAAGGAGATTCTTTATGTGGCAGTTTACAATAACAATCTTTGCATATTCCTCCTCTCTGAGAGTTAGTTTTCATGAATCCTATGTTGTTCTGACAAAGGACTGTGTTCTTTAGTGGATTTGACTGCTGTGGAGAAAGGGAATGAAGGGAAATAGGCATAGAACCCAAATCTTCTCTTTTCTCAGGTAGAGGCAAAGTAAAATAACTAAACAATTATCTGGGAAAATGAACTATTGTAAGTCAAATTAGATTATTTAGATTCACACTCTTCTCTATTTCCTCCTATTAAATTTACTGTATTAGATTTAAATAGTAGTTTTACTCACCAAGCAAACCAAATCAACAAAAAAACCAAAGTATTAACAACAAAAAAAAAACCTGGCAGGGCATAGTGTCTTACACCTGTAATCCTAGCACTCTGGGAGGCCAAGACAGGCGGACTGCTTGAGCTCCAGAGTCAGAGACCAGCCAGGGCAACACAGTGAAACCCCATCTATACTAAAATATAAACAATTGGCCAGGCATGGCAGCAGGTGCCTGTAATCCCAGCTACTTGGGAGGCTGAAGCAGGAGAATTGCTTGAACATGGGAGGTGGAAGTCTCAGTGAGTCAAGATCCAGCCACTGTACTCCAGCCTGGGTGACAGAAGGAGACTCCATCTCAAAAAATATAACAATCTGAAATGACAATAAAACTTAGCAGAATTCACTTTAAAACTATAGTTGAATAATTTATAATCCTTTGGATTTATACCCAGTAATGGGATTGCTGGGTCAAACAGTATTTCTGGTTCTAAATCCTTGATGAATTGCCACACTGTCTTCCACAATGGTTGAACTAATTTACACCCCCACCAACAATGTAAAACTTTTCCTATTTCTCTACATCCTTTTCAGCATCGGTTGTTTCTTGACTTTTTAATGATTGCCATTCTTGGAACAAATCCAAATGCCCATCAGTGATAGGCTGGATAAAGAAAATGGGGCACATATACACCATGAAATATTATGCAGCCATAAAACAGGATGAGTTCATGTCCTTTGCAGAGACATGGATGAAGCTGCAAACCATCATTTTCAGCAAACATAGGAACCAAAAAACAAACACTACATGTTCTTACTCATAAGTGGTAGTTGAACAATGAGAACACATGGACACAGGAAGGGGAACATCAGACACTGGGGCCTGTCAGCAGGTGGAGGCAAGGAGAGGGACAGCATTAGGAGAAATACCTAATATAGATGGCGGGTTGATTGGTGCACCAAACAACCATGGCATGTGTATACCCGTATAACAAACCTACACATTCTGCACATGTATCCCAGAACTTAAAAGTCTAATTTTAAAAAAGTGAAAAATAAACCCTGTAGTTTAAGGCAATTGGAACTTTGTAAAAATACTTTTTAACTTCGAACTCAGTTTGTAAAAGATGGAATCACAAAAACTGTGTTCATGTATACCTGGTATGTATAGATATGTGTCACTCAAGGACAAAGATATGTTCAGAGAGATGCATTGTTAGGCAATTTCATTGCTGTGTAAACATCACAGAGTGCACTTACATAAACCTAGATGGTCTAGCCTACTACATACCCAGGCTGTGTGGTCTAGCCTATTGCTCCTAGGCTAAAAACCTATATAGGATGTTATACTGTAGGCAGTTGGAACACAATGGTAAGTATCTGTGTTTCTATCATGTAGTAGTTCGGTCAGGGTGGTGGGAGAAGTTATAAGGAAAGAAGCAGCCCTTGTGAAAGGTGAGAAGGCTCTGTAAAGCTTCAGACAAGAATAAAGCTGAAGGCAGCTAATTCTCTTACTTTAAGGCTAACGGCGAGGAGTAGGTAACAAAGGAACGTAAAGAAATCTATCTAGGTATGTCTATTTGTGTCATCCAAAGACGGACCTGTGATCATTCCCCCACAAGACTGCTCCCTGCAAAGGAGGATGACAATGTCGATTACCCACAGACTGTGTTGGCTTCAAGCCTTTGACATTATACTAGCACTAAGTAACACACGTGGGTCCAGCTTATTGGGTCTGCTCTCTCCAGCAGTCCCCTAGTGGCTCTCACGAAAAATACCTGTGACTAAGTGCTCCTTACATCCATCGCTCAGCCAGTCTGCAGGACAGACTCGGCACTAACCCATCTAAACATAGAGAAATGCAGTAAAAATAGGGTATAAAAGATAAAAAGTTGTACATCTGTACAGGGCAATTAGGATAAATGAAATTCACAGAACTGGGAGTTGCTCTGGGTGAGTGAGTGAATGAGTGAGTGGTGAGTGAATGTGAAATACTGTAGACTTTATCAACACTGTACACTTAAGCTACACTAAATGTATAAAAAAATTTCTTTCTTTAATAAATTAGCCCTAGTTTACAGTACCTTTTTTACTTTATAAACTTCTTTTAAAAACCATTCTGACTCTGTTGTAATAACACTTAGCTTAAACCATAAATTATATAGCTATACAAAAATATTTTCTTTCTAAACAGCTTTATCCTATAAGCTTTTTTAACTTTTAAAAAAATGTCTCCTTCTTCAACTTTTTTTGTTGAAAACTAAGATACAAACACACACATTAGCTTAGGTCTACACAGGGTCAGGCTCATTAATGTCACTGTCTTTCCCTCCATATCTTCTCCCACTGAAAGGTTTTCAGAAGCAGTAACAGGCATGGAACTGTTATCTCCTATGATAACAACACCTTCTTTCAGAATAACTCCCAAAGGACCTGCCTGAGGCTGTTTTACAGTTGCATCTTTTTATATAAGTAGGAGGAGTACACACTACAATAATGATTAAAAAGTATAATATGGGAAATACATAAACCACTAACATTTATTACCAAGTATCACATACTTACATAATTGTATGTGCTATACTTTTAAATGACTGACAGAGCAGTAGGCTTGTTTACACCAGCATCACCACAAATATGTGAGTAATGCAATGTGCTACAACCTTAGGACAGCTACAATGTCAATAGGTGATAGAACTTTTCAACTCCATTATAATCTATGAGACCACCATGGTACATATGGTCCTGTGTTGACTGAAATATTATTACACAGTACATATCTATAACTAGAAATGGTTTCCTTTCAGGCTACCTACTGGCCCCTTCTCCATATGTTTGATTATGGCTTTTGTCCTCACATTTGAGATATTCTGGCTCCATTTTTACTGAAATGCAAAAGAGCCGTCTCAGATTATTCTATTTACCAGGTAAGAATGTTTATGAAAAAAGTTGAAACCTTTCTAATCTGATAAATATCTGTACACCGTGAATTCTGAAAGGGTAGGGACCATGTCTCTTTTTCTCCACATTATGTTGCTAGAGCAGAAAGCAACCTGATAGTCTTTGGTTTTTATTTTGTTTTTAAATAAGATAGATGCTTGGATATATTAGCTTTGGTTTTTATTTTTGTTTTTAAATAAGATAGATGCTTGGATAATAGTAAGATGCAAAATGTATGCTTCTTTTGGCACAGAAATTCTTGGCAAATAAGTTTGTCTATAATCCAGATGGGCTTTCTTCTATTCTATATTCTTACTCTTTTGATAGCATCCTTGGACCTGAACCAAATCTTGGTTGCTCATTGCAACCTCTGCCTCCCAGATTCAAGTGATTCTCCTGCCTCAGACTCTGAGTAGCTGAAATTACAGGCACACACCACCATGCCTGGCTAGTTTTTGTATTTTTAGTAGAGATGAGGTTTCACCTTGTTGGCTAGGCTGGTCTTGAACTCCTGACCTCAGGTGATCCACCCACCTCTGCCTCCCAAAGTGCTGGAATTACAGGTGTGAGCCACTGCACCCAGGATTACTATTTTAAACTATGGTTACCTTGAGAAGATTTATATAAACTCTGAAAAAAGAAAACCCTCTAGTAAATATCTGTGAGGTCCAGCATAACTGACAATAATTTGTCTATAATATGCCCCTGACAGGTATAGTGGGCCAGAAGGGAGGTGAACACTGAA